TTTCCTTCGAGCCGGATTTGAACCAGCGACCTATGGATTACCATGAAATAACAACCACTACAGTCCACCGCTCTACCAACTGAGCTATCGAAGGGAGATAACGGTCGTGTAAATTTTAAAGGATTCGAATGGGGGAAATGAAAATTTCCGTTGAAATTTTCTTTATTTATATTTTCCACGAAATACGTGTCAATAAAAAAAAATTACGTACGTTTCGTCTAATTCCACGAACTTTTTTTTTTTTTTAAATAAAAAATCGAAATCAAATGTTTTTTTTTTTTTTTTTACAACTTCACATCAAATATTATTATTATTATTTTTTTTTTCCAGAATATTTTTCCAGAATATTTTAATGTCGTCGAAAATTTAAACTACGTTTAAAATCGAATTTTTTTTTTTTTTTTTTTTTTAATAATCGAATTTTTTTCCCTTCCTTATAATTATTTTTTCAAAGTACGCGAATTTCATGATAAAATTATTTGGGAAAATTTTTTCAAATTTTCAAATTTTTAGAGAGAGGGGGGAGGGGAAAAGAAAAAAGCGGGAAAAAATTTTAAAGTTCATTAACCCCCTCGACGAAATTTTTTATTTTTTTTCGTGAAAACAAAATACTTATAATCGTTAATTTTTTTTTTTTTGTAAAATTTCTTTTCGAGTATCACTCGACATAAACAATCGAACAAACGAACAATAATAATAATAATAATAATAATAATAATAATAATAATAATAATAATAATAATAATAATAATAATAATAATAATTTAAAAAAATTTTATAAAAAGGAAATCGAGAAATTTTGAAAATGGAAAATGATGGTAAAAATGAAAAAAAAAAAAAAAATTTTTTTCCTTTCGAATTCCTTCCCGTTAAAATTTTTTTAAAATTTTCCTCTTAGAATTCGCGCCTGCCTGCCTCTTTCCCCACCTCACCCCTTTCTCTCCCCCCATTCACGTGTTTAAAAAAAAAAAAAAATCCGAATTTGAAATTAAAAAAAAGAAAAAAAAAAGGAATTTTCTCATCGGAAACGATAACGAATAAGAAACATTCTGGATCGTTTTCGTCGTTCTGAATACGGTCCTGACTTCTTATTATTACGTCAAAAATTAAATAAAAAAAAAAAAAAATGAAAACAAAGAAAAATAAAAAAATAAAAAAAAAGTTTCGATGGATTTTTGTTTTTTTTTTTTGTTATGTAAAATCAAATATGAAATTTTTATGCAAATATTTATTTACAATTTTCTTTTTTCTCCCTTCTCTCTCTCTTTTTTTAACAACCACCACCACCCCCACCATCGCATCTCTATTTAAACTCTTTCATTTTTTTTTTAACAACAACAACAACAACAACAAACTCTCGCACCGAAAAATCATCCGAACAAAAAAAAAAAAAAAAAGACATTTAATTTTGCTTTCATTTTTTTTTTTTTTTTTTTATAATGTAAATTTCCCATGCATAAATTTATTTTAATTTTCATCCTTTTTTCTTTTTTTTTTTTTTTGGGCATTTGGGGATTTTTCACGGGGGGGCGTCTTTAAAATTAAAAAAAAAATGGCGGCGGTTCGAACGGTTATTTTTTTACCAAGTCGGGTATTAGACTTTATGTCACGACCCGTTAATATTACCGCGTAAAGTAAAAAGTTTTTTTATTAAAAAAAAATTGAAAGTGAAAATAATAATAATAATAATAATAATAATAATAATATTTTTCTTCTTTTAAAGAAAAGAAAAAGATCAAGTTTGCTTGTTTTTTTTTTTTTTTTAAATAAGATTTTTATTTATGCTAAAGGTGAAGAGAAAAAAAAACGTAATCATGAAATTTTTTTTTTTTTTTCGCGGCTTTGAATAATAATTTATTAAATGTAAAAAAAAAAATAATTAAAAAAATAAAATTTGAACCCCTCGTAATAATAATAATAATGATAATGATAATAATATAGCAAAACGTTTTGATTTGTTTTCAAAAGTTAATTTGAATGACAAAATTTTTGGATAACAATCTGTCGGTTAAGTAAAATCACAAAGTGGTTAACCGCCAAATGATTTTACCCTTCGGCTACTAAACTCTATTATCCTTTTCTTTCCTTTCCTTTTCTTTTTTTTTTCTTTTCTTAAAGTAAATTTAAATCTTTTTTATATCCGGTATAGGTTTAACACTTATCGAATTAAAAAAAAAAAAAAAAAAAAAAAAAAACGTGCCGTAGTGCATACAAATCAATGTTACCAACTTAATATTTTAACACGTGTTAAATTATTATTAAGTTTTGAAAAAAAAAAAAGAAAAAACTAAATCCTGTAATTCAACTACCACTCTGAGGGT